GGGTTATTAAAAAGAGAAGAGATTGTAATTATGTATATCCTCCTCCTGGCCCTGTACGTCCCTAGCACAGGTTTTGGAGATGCAGCACAAAAGTCTCTCGGCTGCTTTGGCACGCTCTTTGTCTGAAAGAATGAGTGGCCAGAGCTGGCTCTTATACCCTTGCTCAAAGTCTGTTTCTCTCAGGGGCGTGGGGGTGGCATCCAAAATCGGATGGCCTGTTTTCCCACACATGTGAAATACAACGTCATTAACTCTCTCTTTCGCCCTGCTTGGAAGATCATGCTACTTCCCCCCCCCCCCACTTGGGAAAATCTACCGCCCCCCAACACGCAAGTATCAGAGTGGGTTGCCCTAAGAGGTTTCCCTTGGAACTGTGCCGTAGGGACCAAAGAAAAGGAACTAAGGGGTTAGGCGGAGGTCTTGGGCGATCAGCTGAGCAAGCAGCCAGGAACGAAAAGGAAAAGGGCTTGAAAAGCTGTCCGAGCTTTTAGGGGAATCCTCTCAAAACAGCCAGCTCTCCTACTTCCCAGCCCTCTGGTGCTCCTGGTTGATTCCCCTGCCCTGCCCGAAACGCACTTTGCTGTTTTCACGCGCACACGCACGCACGCACGCACACATAACACAACTTGTGCTGCCTTTCGGAATTAACCTCCTTCGATTTTTTTTTTTACTAGCTACGTGGCAATCTCCGGCTTTCTTCTAAACTGTTAGGATCCCTGAGTGCCTTTTCCATCTCGATCTCTACTAGTTTAGGGAAAGCTGAGGGCTGAAAGTAGATAGATGAAAAGGAGGTTCAAGAGTGAGGTTGGTGCGAAACAAAAACATGGAAAGAAAAAAAAACTAGGGGTGGACTCTCCTGATTTCATTTCCTATGGGTACCCCTTTAGCTAGAGAAAAAAAACCCACCAAAACATTGTCTAAAAGGAGCTATAGTACCACGAAGGCAAGTAAGATATTTGCATCAAATATGCCTTGTGTGATCAACTGGGTATGGAAGTTTCTAAAAACATCTTTTAAAAATAGATGGAACCTATTAAAAGATAATTTTTGCAACATCATGGTTGTTGTTTCCATACACTTCTGCTATGCGAACTGTTTTAATTTTTTTACTTGAATTGGAACTAGAAGAATTATACTGAAGGACTAATTCTTCAGATTGTATCTAATTGTTTTCTGGGTTAGGAAATGGCCTGCTATACTTTAAACCTCCTTGACTGCCTGCTCAGTGAATCCTGCAACCTGACTCTTCCTTCCATTTCAAAACAAGTCAGGGATCTATTTTCCATAATCCCAAAAATGTCTGAAAATGGGGGTTGGGAACTGTATTGTTAGCTTCAGTGGTCCCTCTCTGTAAACAAGGAGGAGGCTGTCACTTCCTTCTTTTGAATCTAGCTTTATGATATGCATACACAATCTGTGTGCATATCATGTGCAGTTTTATTTATTGAGAAGTAGGTCTAATTCTCAAGCAAGATTAAGTCTTAAATTTTCCATAAGGAAAACTCTTATGATGTTCCATCATTAAAACTATGTCTTAAGTTCAAAGAATATTTTTTTTTAAAAAAATTCAGATGCCTTTGCTTTCCCCTCTTTCCTAGAAAATGTCATCATATTTTAAGTTGCCAATAAGGAACTGGATGTCTAAGTGGATATATCCCCCATTTTCCAAGACCTTAATATCTTTGACCTGTGTGATGTCTTTGCTGCCAAACATGTATTCATATTCAGGTGGAAATTTTCTTTTCAAAGTTAGCTTTAGGTTTTGTCACAGGTTTCTGTATATCGGATGGTACAAGATCCCTAAAAACAGCATATTTATACCTTGTTTTTATGAGGAACAGTGCTAAACCTTTCAGCTGTATTAAGTTCTTAAGGCCTAAGTTAAGAATTTAAAATGCACCCCAGGAACCAGGAATTATAGAGACTCATCAACTAGAAAGCTATTTTCATATACATATGAACTTTAAGATTATGAATATAATTTTATATGGAAGTATTAATTCCCAGTATTTCTGGACTTTTTGTTTCTGTAATATCATTTGGACTGGGGCAGGTGTCCCCATGGTGTGTTTGGATGCACTTTGAATAGACATGGTTTTTTAATCTACAGTGGGGAATATTTAAAAATATCTCGATTTCTGGTTTTAGTTAATTATATTTTAATGAAAGTGTCACTCATATTCTCATTACATCTGTAGTATTAGGTTAAGATAATTAGATTTTCAAATGAGAAGCAATCTCCATCCCTTGCAAATTTCTAAGAGATTCTTATTTATAGTGGCATCTATGCACTGTCTCCTATATTCTCTTTTTCCATATCTTTCAATATCTTTAGCAAACCCAAGAACAGAAATATTTCTCTTTTTAATGGTCCTACCATATGTGCTGAGAATAATTTTTGTTTTAATCTGTTTATTATTTCTATTACACATTAAAAATACTGTTTGTTATTATAAATTTACTTTTGTTGAGCTGTTGGACCAATTACCCTAGGGAGAGTAAACTGCTATAGGTATGTGCAATAATGCATACATCTTAATATGTATACATTGCTACAGTTATTAAACACAGTACCATTGTATATATAGTGGTGTGCATGTGTTTGTGTATATGTGTGTGTGTGTGTGTGTGTAAATAAAGCCTCAATAATATGTAAATTATTCTTTAAGGCTGAAAGAGTAAAAATTTCCATCTTAGCCTTACTTCCTTTCCATACAGAGGCACATTCCACATTCATTATCCAAAGCATATTTTCTTCTTTAAAAAAAAGAATGGGGGGGGGGGAGAAGAGAGAAAGAAAGAAAGAACTTCCCTGGTGGGAGGAATAATTAATTTGCACCCATATCTTTTCACATTCCTGAACAGTTAAGAGCAAATCTTCTTTCCTTCCTCTCTGCCCCTTCTTTCTCCCTTGCCGTCTCTCTCTCACTCGCTCACTTTCTCTCTCTAATTTCGCCCAGCCATCTATTTGTGTGTGTGTGTGTGTGCGTGCGTGTGTGTGTCTGTGTTACTAATGAAGTTTGCAGACTTGTGTTTGTGTCCGTGAAGCTGCTTTTCCTACTGCCCGTTCTGCTTAGGGGCCAGTGGTGTGGCTCCCGCAGTCCCTGCGAGTCCCCAGCAAGCAGCGGCAGTAAGTCCGCGCTGCGCGTCATTTGCAGTCTGGAGAATGTTGATCACCTCGCTAATTACACCTCTCTCTCTTCTCTCTTTCTCTCTCCCCCCCCCCCCCCGCTTGCTCTCTCTTTCTCTCTCTCTCTCTCTCTCATTCCCAGAGTGCATATCGGGAATAGACACACAAAGACATGCGCACTCAACTTAATCAGCCATTTTTTTAAACAGGGCTAAAACGATAATAATTAGCAGAATAAAGACATATCGGATTTTCATTTCCTTTCCTCCTTTTCCCAACCCCTTCACAACCAAACAGCGAGACCGCGGTCGCCACTTGCTTTAACGACTCCCGGACCCCAAAGGACCGCTCCATGCCCCCACTTCTTGTTCATTTTTATTTTCACCCAATAAAGTTGGAGGATTATTTTTTTATTATTATTATTTTTAATGAACCTTCTGTCGTTTACTTGGATGTGATCAGCTGTTAAGTAAATAAAGCAAAACAAAACAGAGAGGAGAAGATCCAGTAAGAACTGCGAGGGGAAATGGAAAGTAAGTTTTTTCTTTAACTTTTATTGAGTAGTTTGTGTTAAATTTAGGTCGAGTATCGATTATCTTTCCAAGCTGATCTTGCACAATCTTTGATATTTCGCTCTCGCTCTCTGCCTGCCTCTCTCTTTCTCTCTCTCTCTCTCTCACACACACACACACACACACTCGCTCTCTCTCTCACACACACACACACATACGCACACACAAACACACAAACGCACGCACACACACACACTCCCATCCCCTGAACCTCTCTATCTCTCCCTTTCTCACCCTCCCTTTTCTACCTCTTTTCTCATTTTTGGGTGGTTTTTTATGTGAGGAGGCTTTCTTTTTTAAATTTAGGGAGGATGGGGTTGGGGTACCCGTTTTTTTTTTTCAAATTGTAACTTTTGGATCAATTGAAGAATCTTTAACATTTGGTAGAAGAAAATATTTTTGTATTGTGTGTGTCTTTTTAAAATCGATCTGGGAAACGGGCTGATTTGAGCCACGGCACGGCTGTCAAAAGTCTTTGCCTGTTCCTTCTCCCTCCCCCCCCCCAACCCTTTTAACTCCGGATTCCGGAGTGCGATGCCTCTGGGGAAAGTTTGGGGTGCTTTGGGGGTCAGGGCTCGCATTTGGCTTTGGTGCTGAGGGGGGGGGGAGTGCCGGTGGGACGGAGGGGCCCCCCGTCTCGGCAGGGGTGCGCGCGCGTGCTTTCGAGGTGGGGTGCTGGCATTTGCAGCAGCCGGGCTCGGCTCTCGCCGTAGCAGGCAACCAGCGAGACAAGCCCGCTAGAGGAGCGGCTGGTGGCTTTCCCGGGGCGCCAGTTTCTAGCGAGCGGCTTCCTGACCGGACCGGACCAGGCTGCCAGGCTCGCCGGAGGGACTGCTAGGCTAGGGAAGATTCTTCCCTTTGTGAAAAGGCAGCCGGCGCCCTCCGTTGCTGGCTTCCGCGCCTTCCTCCCTTTCTCTCCCCCGCGTGAGGCTCCGGCGTTAGGTTCTTTTAATCGGATTTGAGCCAAAGAAAGATAATATATAATATAATATGATATTATGTTATATATATTACAATCTTTTTCTGTGTCGTGCGGAGTGTGCGACGAGTACTTCTCTCGGTCTGTAATGCAGCGGCGCCGCGGCTGCTTTCCACGCATACATCCCTTCGCGCGGCGGCGGCTGCGGCTGAGGCAGACACGTCTCGGCGTCCCCCGCCTGCCTTGCAACCTTGCCCTCCTCGCCTGTAAACATGGGGATCGGAAACTTTGCGTCCCCGGTGCCCCCCGCCCCTTCCCTCCTGTTTCCCAGCCGTACCCCTCTCCCCCCAAACAGACGTTGCTGTATTCCTTTTGTTACCTGCCAGCTGGAGGGGGAGGGGGTCTCGGGGTCTTCGGCTGCTCGGGGCACTGGGCCCAGCCGAGAGAAGAGGCTCAGCCAGCCGGATTCAGCCTTCGCGCCGTCCCGAGGAGGTTTTTTCGCTTCCATTCAGTAAAACACAAACCCTCCTCCTCCTCCTCCTCCTCCTGTTCTCCTCCTCCTCCTCCTCTTCTTCCACCTTAGGTACCAAGGCATACATCGCAAACATTACACCCCCCCCTTCCCGCCCTCCCCACCACCACTACCACAAAAAAAAAAAAAAATCAGTTCAACCAAAAGACAACTTGCCAGGCAGAAGATGGTGGATTTACATTGAGGCAGACCCCGCAGGGTCAGGCAGGAAGTCTGACTGTTCTTGTATCTGACAGTTGCATTTCCTCTCCTTCATTCTCATCGCCTTTTTCATATTATTATTAACCCTGTTCCATTTTAATCAAGGATCAGGTAGCTGGAAAAGAGAGAGAGAGAGAGACAGAGAGAGAGAGAGAGAGAAGGAAAAAAATTAAAAGGGAGAGAGAGAGGAGGGTTGATGATTTTGAAGGTTGGATAAATCTCTCTTATATGTATATCTGAAATTGTGATTCCCCTTTGGAAGGATTTCCAGTGGCTGGATCCTTAAGAGCCGTGATTGAAGAGCAGATGAGAGTTTATTCTGTCTTTGGGAGTTTGGTGGATGTCTAAGTGGATGGATGAAAGGAAGAGGTAGTGAGCAACAGCCTTGGAAGCCCTGCCTGTTGTTGGTTAGGTTGAGGCAGACACTTGGCTGCGATTGGGAACACCACTGTGACATGGGCATCGATCGCTTCCATTGAGAGCAATGCAAAAACACAGCCTGGGTATGTAACACTCTCAGTGCCATCAACCCTTGTTTTACTTTCTATTTACTGACAAAGCTGACAGGGAGAAGGGACTTTGCTTTTGGAAAGCCAGAAAAGAAAGGGGAAGAATGAAAAAACTACAAGTGAACAGGGCTGAAGGGTTGGAAAAGGAAAAAAAAAAGACTGTTTAAATATAATCATTTTGTTTCATACTTTGGACTTTGAAAGAGTTCCTTTTTTTGCAGTGAAATTTTAGAGAAATAATACAACTGGAGCTCTCTCTGTCTCTCTGTGTGTCTTTCTTTCTCTCTCTCTCCCTTTCTCTCTCTCTCTCTCTTTCTCTCTCCCCCCCCCCCGTGTGTGTGTGTGTGTGTGTGTGTGTGTGTGTGTGTGTGTGTAAAATAGTTGTGGGGAGGACTGTCTGCTTGTGGGGAGGATTGTGAGACAGTTTCAAACAGTGGGAAGGCATACCAAGATGAAAGATGGCTAGCCAGCTGTTTTAACCTCTTGCACCTGGCTTGAGTGCAGAGGCTCTCTCAGATTATTCAGTGAGCCTAGCTGAATATTCATACTCCAGGATCTATACACTGTCGCTGTAGCATCCCATTGGCATTGCTTTGGGCTTTGAAGGCTTTTTAGAAGGCAAACATGTATTCAGTTTTCCTTCTTATGGGAATGAACATATAAGGTCAATTAAATAGAAGGCAATGGTCATAAATCTTCAAAAATGAAATCTATTCAAAGAACAAAGAAAGGTCAAATAAACCATCTGTATAAGTCACAGTAATAGTAGTGGTAGTACCTGCTTGGTAGGTTTAGGAATGATATTAGCTGGTTTTCTAAAAATGTAAGTGATGAGAAAAAGTATGCATCCTTTGAATCTTTTAAAATAGATACAAGGTTGTGCTTCTATAGCAAAATATTTTATTGTTAATCATCAGGGACTATGTAAAGAAGTGCTGAGAAAATCACTGTTTAATATTGCAGAATTTACTGCTTCCACTCTGACCATGAGCCTAAATTTACACAATGAAATTTGATTATCTCTAATAACAGTATTAGATCCTGCACTGGATGGATGAGAATTGAGGTGGTTTTGTTGATTGCAAGGGTTTAATGTTGCATTTCAGAATCTGATGTGGTTTAGCCTTCCTTCCATTAACTGGAAAACCCCTGAGGTTTTACAATTATTTCTTAAAGATAATACATTTAAGATTGCATTGGAAGGCTGGAGAAAAGTCATATAGGCAAGAAGGGAAGCCCTTAATAACTCTTGAGATTCAGACATGTTCAGCAGTTAGATTGGCTCTGACTTCAGCAAGGGTCGACAATGTGTCATTTCCATGAAGCCAAATTGCCCTCTGCCTATATGATATTAATGTGCAAATCAATATTTCAGGGATTAAATTTCCCTTCTTCATTTTTTATGGTTTCTACCTCAATAAGTCTCAAGTCTATTAGAAGAGGCTGGATGATTTAAAATCCTTCACTGCAGAATGGCTTGTTGTAGCCTTGTTTCACATACCATTTTGGGATTTTTGTTTTAAAAGACTAAAGGCATGGAAAAGAAGTTGATAGTCAATATAGGGACATGCGCAATACTGTAAAGCCTTTTTTCAATATAGAGATAATAAGGTATTGAATATATACATTTGTATGATATATTCATTTATATGATATATACATTGTATGCTTTAAAAATATTGTGTTAATCCCTTATAGATTTATTCTGGAATCAATTGAGGCTCTTTGCTTGTTTGTGATTTGTTAGCATTCTGATGCTTTTTCCAATAGCATGCTTGGATTATTTTGCAATGAATATTCTTTAGATCTTTGAAGACTGTCTAAAAATAAGATTTTAAGTGAATTAAGCTAAGTGATATAAAAAAGTCTGCTATTGTGCCTGAGTGATATTAGTTGTATCATATTAATTAACAAAGGGACCTTTTAGTATGACATTAGCCTTTTAAAGTGGCTGTGCATTGGTGGTGTTGCATTAAAAGAGGTCTTTTGAATATTTATGATTAGATTGAAAAAGGCTCAAGGAAGAAGCTATAGATGGCTGAAATTTTAGGTCACGCACAAGGTTGCGACTTTATCACATTTTGGAAAGGCCCTTAGCTCTATCATTTTGATGGTATTTTATAGCTTCAGACCATCTGGGCTGAGTTCCGCACAGCTGCATGAATTTTGTCTGCGATAGAGCATTTTTTCCATTCGGTGTGAAATGTTCCTTTCTAAAAAAATGTACACCAGACTTACTTAATTTGATCTTTTAAAAGAAATACATATAAAAAAGGGACAAAAGACTCTTTAATCTCTGCAAGCTGTTTGCTTTTCTTCAAGCTGTCTATTAGGTTTTGAAAAGTCATTTTTATTGAGGAGATGTTTCTGAGGTGTGACATTAAAATAATATATCGGGGTTTTTTAGAGAGGGAATGTCTGATTCCTGTTCTTCTGCCTGCCTGTCAAAACACGGTTAATCTACTCTTATTTACAATTAATCTCAATAAAATTAATCTTAACTGTGCAATAGAGTGGCTTAAAATATCTAATTATATTCAATTAACTGCTGTCATAGTAATTAACACTGCTTAATTGCTTCAGCATATATTTATGTAAAGCTCATTAGTTCCTGGTTGCTCTTTTTTCCTGTCCTCATTCCTTTTTTATTGCTGTCATAGCATTGACATCAGTCTAGATTTGTGTGTGTATGTGAGTATGACAATTTCAAACTTGACAATTAATGAATTGGCAACCCTTTTATTTAGCTGAATGTTAAATATTTTAGTAAGCTCTGAGGCAAGATTGTAATGACTGGGTAGCATTTTTTAAAATAAAATTTGACTTTGTGGATGGAAATAGGAAAAGTCAGGTTAAGCCCTGTATTTAGAAAGGAAGAGCTTTTCCTGCATCTGCCTTGGGGCTGTACCCACAAGGCATGGTTTGCTTCTTCCAGATAATTCAAAGGGTTAAAGTCTTGGCCAAGGTTCAAATTGAAAAATGCCCAGGGAAAGTGTGTGCTGAAGATGTACAGATTTCATATAATTAGTGCTTAATTATATTAACATATGCAAATTGTCAACTCCGGAGCTTGTTGAACTGGCATAGATCAGTCTGGGACAATTGCCGTATTGTCTGAGACAATAATGGATTTCAAGTTGGTTTGGGGAAACACATAACTAGCTATCTAATTTAACTCATACCATGGTGAAATTTCATTAGTCTCCATGGAGACTGGTTTAATTGTGCTGACTAATGTTCTGGGGTATAGAATGTCTTAAAAAGAAAATGCTGTTTGCCTAATCCACCTTACAATGACACTTGTTTGTACATGTTTCCTTTGTGTGATAATTTGCATATGCAAATAAATAGTTTCTCAGCCCCATTTGTCATGGCTGTTCATTACCCATGAAGAGGACATTGTTACTATGCTGTTACTGAGTCTCCCAAGACAGGATAGTGTCAACCAGTCCAGCTACATTCTTTCATAATTTGTTTCTGATTAATAGACCAGAGTGAGGCTCATTCTATTCAAGCCTCGGGAAAGAGAAGGTCAGTTCTGCCATAGAAAGGAGTTTCCGCAGCAACTAAAGCCCCCCCCCCCCTTCTCCTCATCTCTCCCCTTTTCTTTCCTGGCTTAACAGAATCATATTTAAAATAATGCATTCTGGCTCTAAGGAGAATGTCCCCTATTAATCTCTGGTTTCCTCAAGCAAAAGATAGAAAAACAAAAGAGATTCAGGTTTTGGAATATTAATCCTGTTTTTGACAGAAAGGTAAACTGATATAATTGCTTTTCAGTGGAAGGAATGGGGGTTTATAGAAGTGTGAAAGCATCGGAAAGGATTAGCATTTTTTTGCATAATGAAAAGCTCTGCTGAATAGGGCACTGAATGGTTGACTGAATGACTAAGATGAAAGGAAGACGAAAATGCAAGCTTCTCTTTCTCTCTCCTCTGCTCAGCTCACCCTAAAGTTATGTTTGTCCAAGACTTGAGAAAACAAGCAGAAGCTCAGATTTCAGCAACTTTATAAAAATGCCTTGAATTTTCATCATCAGGCTGATGATGAATATGTATGTAATGATGCAGCTAGAAGAGGATAGATCCAGGTTTGTATGTCATAGAAATACTACAGGCTAATCAGGTATTGACTATTGGGTATTGAATCTCTGCTGTGTTTTGTGAGAAGAAGAGTTTTTTTAAAAAAAATCAAGCAAGAAAAATAAATGGAGGTCAGGTAGTCTGAAGCTTAGCTTTTGAATGTGCTATTCATAAGGTATAGTTTTAGCTCTTTTAATTGATGGTGCTTTATTTTGTTGGTGTTGAAAG